TGTGAAGGGTCAGTGTGGTGTGTCTGACTCAGCTGCCTTTTGAGTATAATTCTCAGAAATATTATTAATCCATAATTCTATACTCAATGGAATGATCTTTTAAACACTGGAGCAAAATAACTTTTCAGACAAACAGAAGCTAATAGAATTAAGTAATATCAATCTTGCACTACAAAAATGGTAAAGAATATACATTAGACAGAAGGAATATAGTGTCAGATGAAAATCTGAATCTCTACAAAGAAATTAAGTATTGAAACTGGTAAAAATAAAGGTAGCAATAAAAATACTCTTTTCATTTTTAATCTTGACAATATATAATGAGTATCCTAAGAAAAAACAGTAACAACATATATAGTAGGGTTCATTACATAACTAAAAGTTAAATGTAAGATTAAAAACAAAGACTTGGAGAAAGATATTGAGTATATTGTCATCAGGTCCTTATACACAATTATTAGATTAATATTATTTGAAGATATAAGTATTTATTTCATAAGTCTATTAAAAGCTAGAGAAACTATACTCAAAAAATAAAACAAAAACCTTTAATCAATAAACCAATGGTGGTAATTAAGTTTATAAAAATAAACTCAATTAACAAACAAAAGAAAGAAAAAGAGAAAAATAAATCAAGAATACATGAGACTAATTGAAAACAATCAGCAGGATCATGGTACTGTCAGGTAAGCATTTGAGTGACTGGTCTAAGGGTTAGTAGTTCAAACCCACCAGCAGCTCCACAGGAGAAAGATGTGGTTTTCCTGCACCTATAAAGTTTTATAGGTTTCAGAACCTTATTTAAGGTGGTTGTGAATTGGAATCAATCAGATGAAAATACGTTTGGTTTTTGGCTTCTTAGCAGGATCAGACACAAAATCTAACCACATCAGTGAATACATTTGATGTAGGTAGTTGAAGCATCTGAATTACAGGGCATACCTTGTCAGATTAAGTAAAAAATCAAAGCGCAATCATATGCTGCTTATGAGAATCATAAAAGGCACTAGATTGACAGTTGGTTAATTGTGAGGCAGCTAATTGAAAGGCCAATGATTCTAACTCATCAGCTATTCAATGGAAGAAAGTTGCTACAGTCTGATTCTATAAAGATTTTCAGCCTCAGAAACTCTTTAGGAGAGTTTCACCCTGTTCTAGAAAATTTCTTGGTGTCAAAATTCTCAGCAATGGGTATAAGAAACATACTTTAAATATAAGCACACTGTTGCTGTTAGATGTTGTCAAGTCAATTCCGTCTCATAGCAACCCTACGTAAGACAGAACAAAACACTACTTGGTCATGTACGTACCATCCTCACAATTTCTCTGTATAATGCAACCAAGTAACAAACAAATCTACAATTATAGTTGGAGACTATAGTATCCCTCTTTCAGTAATCAATAAAAATATAACACAAGAATAAACACACAAATTATAAAAAAAGACCTCAACCAACTTTACTTATTAAGCAGAATACATAATCTCATTGACTGGACATGGAACATTCACTAAAATAGACCACATTCTGGGTCATAAAACAAATAATAAATTTATGAAAAGTGAAATAATACAAATATATTCACTGAGTCCAACAGAATTAAACTAGTTATTAGTAACAATAATATGTCTGGATATTTTACAAATGGACACTAAACAACAAACTTTTAACTAAATTATAGGTTAGAAAAAAGTCACAAAATTTTTTTAAGTCACAAGGGAAATCAGAGATTATTCTGAATAGAATTAAAATTAAAATGTAATGTATTAAAATGAATGGAATGCAGCTAAAACGGTTCCAGGAGCAGTATTAAAATGCTAAATACTTTTATTTGTAAACTGGAATGCTTTTAAATTAATAATTTAAATGTCCACTATTAGAAACTATAAAAATAAAGAGCAAATTAAACCCAACAAAATATAGAAGAAAAGAAAGTTTAGAATCAAGGAAATTTAAAATAGAAAAACATTGGTCAAAAATGAATGAAAATGATTATTCTTGAAAAGATTACAAAATTTGATAAACTATTGGCCAAATACAGGAGAAATAGAATACACAAATTATCACTATCAGGAATTATCTATGGCAAATCATTGTAGAATATGTAGAAAAATAATAAGGGTACCATATATATACTCATGTATAAGCCGAGTTTTTCAGCACATTTTAAATGCAGTTTTTGTGCTAAGTAGGTGCTTTGGCTGATATTCGGGTCCACTTATACTTCAGTATATAGGTATATCATCAACAACTAGAGGCCAATACATTTTTTAACCTAGATGAAAAGGATAAATTGACTGACAAACACTATTGCAGCTTGCTTATGAAAAAATATATTATCTGAGTATCCCTAAATCTATGAAAGAAATTTAACTTTAATTTTAAAAAAATTTAACAAAGGCAACTCCAGGATTGGATTACTTTACTGTTGTATCCCACCCCATATTTAAGGTAAAATAAAACCAGTTCTATTCACACTCTTTTGGGAAATACAAGAAAAAATACTTCCCAACTTATTTCATGAGATCAGTGTAATCCTTCTAGCAAAACCAAACAAAAGCATTATAAGTAATAAAACAACACAGTAATATCCCTTGTTAAGGAGGACAGATGAATCAACAAAATATAAACAAATCAAATCCAGTAGTACAAGAAAAGGAAAACAGGAAAACAGGTTTATTCCATGTGTGCAACTCTTAAAATTCAATTGGTGTTATTTTCCATTATCTAAAGACTAAAAATGACTACATTAGATGGTCATTGTGATAGTGGTAAACAATTTGGAAATGGATAGTGGTGATGGTTACACAACATAATTAATATAACTAACGTTATTGAACATTTAAAATATGTTCAATTGGCAAATGACTGTGCATGTACGCGTGTAGACCCAAACTCACTGCCATTGAGTCACGTCTGACTTATACCCTATATATGACAGAGTAGAACTGCCCTTTAGTATTTCTGTAGTTGAAAACGTTCACAGGAGCAGAAACCCTCACCTTCCTCCCATTTAGTGGCAGCTAGCTTTGAACCACTGACCTTGATGTTATCAGCTCAATGTGTATCTCACTACACACACACACACACACACACACGCTCAGACACACATGAAACAATTTTAAAAATAAGACGACCACAATCAATGCAGAAAAAGCATCTGACAAGATCCAACATTCCCTAAGGATAATAATTTTATATTAAGAACACCAGAGAAGGGCATCTGCCTAATAAAGTATATGTACAAAAACCCTATAACTAATATCATACTTAATGACAAAATATTTAAATATACCCCCCCTTAATTAGCCAAACCTGCTTGCCCTCAACTGCATTACATATATAACAAACAGAGCTGAACACACACACAAAACATACACACAACGACAGGTGACAAGGGCCTAAGGTCCCACGAACAATTAAATATAAATATAGCAACACAATAATGCTACAATGTCTGAGAAAGAACAATTTCAGTTCACAAGAAGAAATAAGGCAGAGAGGTTTAAACAAGTGACCAAGAGCCAGAAATGGCACTGTAACCAAAAGGTAAGGAATTCACAAGAATGTTACTTAAATATTTCTATCAGATTAAGAGAAAGATTGTGTTGCTCTCCCTGATCAGCCAAACCTGCCCTCAACTACATTACATGAACAGTGAGCAAAGAACTGAACATACACTCACAGTTTCTATCACACCAAAGAGTAGAATTTAATTCGTGGAAAACCAAGATGGTGAACTTGAAGATTTTCTCTCATACTAATCTGCTAGAGCAGTGGTCCTCAACCTTCCTAATACCATCACCCTTTAATACAGTTCTTCATGGTGTGGTGACCCCCCCCAACCATAAAATTATTTTTGTTGCTACTTCATAAATGTAATTTTGCTACTGTTATGAATCGGGCGATCCCTGTGAAAGGGTCGTTCATGTCCTCACCCACAGGTTGAGAACCGCTGTGCTAGAGGAACAAACAGAAACAACAAAAAATAAATGAAGTCTAAGAATTATGTGGGACACTATTCTAAGTAATAACTTATATGTGATTGGGGAATTCCAGAACAAGAACAGACCGAAAAATGCCCAGAAATAGTTGTTGAAAAGTTTTTGCAGGAGAACTTTCCTACTCTCATGAAAGAGAAGATATGCACTCAAGAAGCTGAAGGGACCCCCCCCCCCAAACAGGATAGATCCCAAAAGAAAATCAAGACATATCATAAACAAAATTTCCAAAGCCAAATATAAGGGGAAAAATCCTAAAATCTGCTCAGGAAATATGAAAGGAGAATTGTTAAGAGTGAGAACTGATTTCTTGCTAGAAACCATGTGGGTAAGATGACACATAGAACTCTGAAAGAAAACAAATTGCCACCCAAAAATCTTATGTACAGAAAAACTGTCTCTTAAATACAAAGGTAAAATTGGGAAGCTTCTAGATAAAGAGAAGTTAAAGAAATTTGTAAAAAATTGACCAATGAACATACATGGTAACATCACCCAGAAGGCAACGCAGATACAGAAGTATTTAAAGTACAAAAAAGCCTACCAATGGAACAGCAGATTTGACAAATGTTATTAAGTGTAATAGAGAGTACTTTGAGGTGATAATGTTGTTTTTAAAAAAAAATATACATAGCTTTGAAAAAAATCTGTTTTTATTTCCCTTTTATTAAGGAAAACACACACAAGGGGAATATTTCTATCTATGTTTATTTATTTATATGTACATATAAAATAGCAGAACTAAAGCCATGACAGACTAGAATAATGGATGATTACATAGCACAGCGAAAGTTGTTTATAAAATTTTCTTTTGCTTGTTTGGACCACTGTATTGTTGATTCCCATTAAGTTCAATAATAAGTCAATCATTTGGTAGAATTTAAAAATTCCAACTGCTCCTCTCCAAAAACAACAACAAAAATATCCCATAAAAAGCATCAAAGATTTATGGTAGTAACAAACCGTTATATATGAAGAATGAAAAGCCAAGTCTACTTACCCAACTTCATGAGATGCTAAGCCCTCTTTGACTAGCTGGTCATTAATACTCGTAGAAGTCATTCCAGAAGCACCAAAAGAATCAAAAAGCTCAACTGAAAGCACGTTATCTTCCAGAATTTCTGTAAAACCATTAAGACTAATTTGGGAAAGGAAGTACATATGTTGCAAAATACATGAAATGAGGCATTAGTTTTAAAAATATGAACTTAATTCCTTTCATGTTCATACATGAGGTTTCTTGATGGATAATGTTATTATATTCTCTCTCCAGGGATTAAATTAGCAATGTGCAGAAATAAATGAATTTCCAGTGTTGTCTGCAGTTTATAATTTAATTAAAACTTTTATTTTAGGTGTTTCTAAAATAAACCAAAAGCCGTTTTAACAGTTTTTAGATGAAAAACAGTAAGCTAACATATGCTTATTGAAGAAACTATCTGTCATGTTTTAGGAGATCCAAGCCCATTCGAAAAGTGAATGAAAGACCATTGACATGAGGTTTACAATTTTTATCAGAATGACACAAAGTTAAAAAAACAAAGGTTTCATAGAGAACCTCCAATTAACTGCATTGTTTAATCCTTTAACTTTTTAAGGCAAGTATGATTTTTCATTCCTTTTAGAAGAAAAAAACCCACATCGGTTACTTGTTTACCAGATCTATTTCCTAGACTGGTAGTTAACTGATAGTTTATAGCTCATCTTCCTATCTCTGTATGTTTTTTACACAGTACAGAGAATCTGCTCCAGATGTGAATAACTGAGAGATACTATTCAGCAAATATCTACATCACCTTTGCAACAGAGGTGATGATAACTGCTAGTCAGAATGGTGAGTCTAAATAAAGATAACATCACCAACAGTAACATCATGTAATCACTAAGTCATAAGAATACATATTAGAAAGCTTGTTTCAAATAGAACTACTTCTCAATTAAATAGGTAAATTATCTGAAGAAACAAAAGTCGAAACCACAATAACTTTGATCTCCCTACTTTGCATCTCTTGTATGCCCAATTGGCTATTTAGTTCATACTCCTATCCATAAAATTTTTTTTATTCCCATAGGCCCAACTTTCCTTTGCTCTGTGCCTTAACAGTTTTTATGCTCTCTCTGAATTAAAATATCAATATGCATTGCCTTATCAAGTTAAAGAGGGTCTATGTGAGTGGGGAGCTCCCATTCTCATGTGTTCCTTTGCTTTACTGTGAATGTTTTGAGCTTTCATACTTATCATTGGATGGGCTAATGGGGAAAGCTATTTTGGTCAGGTAGGGCCTTCTGCTACCCTTTACATAAAATTATTTAGGCTAAGTACTATGGAATGACTACTATTTGGATTTACTAGAATAATAAATAACTGAGAAAGAAAAATGGGAAGTCAAAGAAAGACAATGGAAGAGTCATGTCTATGTGAGGATATTAAAGAGAGGAGTTAAAAAACAAAAGCAACACCAAAATAAAATATCCAAAGGAAAATTGGAAAACAGAATGAACCTGCTGAGAAGTTGCTTAAGGACTAAAGGACTGCTGTCAAGTGGATTCTAACCTACAGGAACCCTGTGGCAAATCCTGAGTTGCACCATTGAGTTTCTGAGACCCTAAATCTTCACAGGAGCAGAAAGCCTCAAAGACTAAATTCACTGCCATTGAGTTGATTCCGACTTGCCGAGACCCTACAGGGCAGGGTAGAACTTCTGTGGGTCTCTTTAAGAGTGGAACTCTTTATAGGAGTAGAAAGTTTTATCTTTCTGGCTGGTAGTTTCGACCTGCGGTTAGCAGCCCAACTCACAACCCACTATGCCACCAGGGCTCTTTATGCTCAAAGACTAAACCCATAATTGACTGTTCATTTCCAAGAAGCCTGCTGTGAAAATGCTATAGATTATGGATGCAAGTTCTTTAATCACATGCCTAGTCAACCAAACTCTCTCTTCAGAATCCTAGTTAAACATGGCTTTGTATATTTTATTCTAGTATTCAATAAGCCAAACAAATATTTTTTAGATTAAAAAATATTCCTAATCTCTCTATACCAGTGATCATTGTTTTTCCAGGATCAAGCTCTTAGGGAAAACAGCATCCTTCCTTCTCCCACCCCCACCAAAATATGCTCAGAGCTTACAGCTGAATTCACTTAAGTCATACAAAACAACAATAAACTAAAGCTATTTGACAGTCGTATCCCTTATTTCCCTGCATATTAAATACTAACACACATAACACCAAAGTCAGGGTCCCAGCAAAAATTGCAAGAAACAAAAGAACCCTGGCTTTTGAACTTTTATGAGCCTATATCTAAGGTGACTTGCTATTTAATGTGACTTTTGCCTCATGTGCTGACTTTATATGGTAGAGACTGAAGACATTACTTTGCTATACTTAACTTCTCAATAAATGCTTTCTTTCACTACTACTGGCAGATTAATATTATGACAAATTTTGTATTATACTACTACTCATTTAAAAGTATGTTGGATCTTATGTAAACTTCAATAAAAGGAAAAGCAGCTTACTAATGATTGAACATGTCATAAATTTATCTTGAGTCTTTTCTTCAAATTTTTCTTTAGCTTCTTTGGACCACCGCATTGCCTTTTTGCATGGTTCTATATATGCTAACTTACATCTCATTGCCTGTGTAAAACAAAATTTCACCATTAATCAACTTAGTTTCTACCTATTTTAGGATTGAAATAAAATTTTATATAAGTATATAAAACCAAGATAAGCATTTTCCTAACCTTTCTTTCATTTGCACATGTGTATCACATACTTACACATAAATGGGATCACAACAAAAAGTACTTTGGTGCTGAAATGTTTCCTTATATCATGGCAACATGAAACTATTATCACATTATTTATATCTCAGAATGATAAAATTG